TTCTTACCTGTGTGTTGTAAAGTTTGGAAGTCCAAGCAATTATTTGTGATTGGTTTTACAAGTGTTCCAATGAAAGTAACCAAGAAGAAAGGGTTTCAAGATTGCAGATTGGGAAACATTCTAATTTTTTTTTTTTTTTTTTTGAGGTGGAGTTTCACTCTTGTTGCCCAGGCTGGGATGCAATGGTGCAATCTTGGCTCACTGCAACCTCCGTTTCCTGGGTTCAAGCGATTCTCCTGCCTCAGCCTCCCAAGTAGCTGGGATTACAGGAGTGCAACACCACACCCAGCTAATTTTTGTATTTTTAGTAGAGATGAGGTTTCACCATGTTGGCCAGGCTGGTCTTGAACTCCTGACCTTAGGTGATCTGCCTGCCTCGGCCTCCCCAAAGTGCTGGGATTATAGGCATGAGCCATTGCACCCGGCCCGACATTCTGATTTTTATATAACTGAAACAAACCCAATATATAAAACCTCAAATTCATTTTTTTAAAAGGGCAGATTTCAGATACACTGTGGCGACACTTGTGGAACTTTAATGTGTATACAAATCACCTGAGGATCTTGTTAAACTGCAGATCTGGACTCGCTTAGTCTGGAATAGGGGAAGAGTCTGCATTTCTAACTGCTCCCCGTCAAGTTGAAGGTGCAAAGCCCACATTTTGGAGGAGCAAGGTGCTATGGTATTCCTCTAATGGCAAGAAATGAATCCAAGGAAAATACAATTTGATTTGAAAACATCCCAGGAGAACATCCGTGAGGTCACATGTACATGGAAACACACAGGCTAGCAAGGAAGCACACCAGGAAAGGTTTCCACAAATGCAAACCAGAAAAGCTGGCCCTGGGCCTTATTCAAGTGAGTCTGTGCTCTCAGCACACTTGGACTAGGCAGAGTGGAAGTACTCTAGTGATAGGCAAGCCACGGGGTGTTGGAAACAAAGTGTCCTAGGATATTTCAAGTCTGTAGCCTTTCCACAGCTAATCTAGCCTTTCCACCTTTCTTAAATCAGTTTAACCTATTCTCCCCTTTGTACTGAAATTTTATGCTGTTTCTATTCACAGCTGTAATTTTATAAAAGCCTATCAGGTTGCCAGATATGGATTATTCAGAAATAGGACTAAAGTGACTGTCAGGTAAAGAAGCATCTTCCAGTGATTAACTCATCCTAATGTGTGTGTCAAGGTGGAAAGGATCAATAAAACGCCTAAAAGGTTCATATTTATAGGACTGGAGATGTAGTTCTGGATATTCTTTGGTTCAGAAATGTGAACACACAAGATCCTCCATATCCCGTGAAATGAGTTTCTTGGAGAAAGAGTGCGAGGTAATCTGATCTCCAGCTGCCTTTAGCATGGACGACACATCTGTCCATCAGGAGACACAAGCCAGCTTTGCACACTGGCTTAAAATAACATGTATGTTTATTACAATTCCTGTCATAACCCTCTTGACTGCTGGGCTTAGGCTGCAATTCTGGAGTCATCATGAGCCAGTGTGTGATGTCAAGCGGTAATACTGAGCTAACAAACCGCTGAGTTTGCAGGACTCGCCCAGAAACAAGGGATTCCACCTCCCTGCACTCACCTGCTGCTGAGCAGATGCATGCTCTGACAAGAAACACCGGAGTAGGGCTGTCACCTGTGCCCAGTGTCGCTAATTCATCCATGCACTCAGGAGGCTGCTTCCCCGGCTCCACACCCCTGCTTGAGGGCTATGTGCACTGAAACAGCGAGGCTACGTAACTAGCACCCTCACGATTTCACCCACTTAGGAGGAAGTACATACACTAGGAGCAAACTTGTGGATAAGGCGGTCCTGTTCTTCCCTATTTGTCCATTGCGGGAGGAAGTTAAGTTTTCCCACAGGCACCTTCTTATTTGGGCCAGATCAAGCTTTCAGATAAAGCATGATAGGAGAGAGAAATTCTAGCAGAGAAAGGCATTCCTTCTCAGAAGGGATAACTGAGGCCCCAGGAAGTTAAGACAACTTTGTCAAGGTAGAGTCTATGCTATTGCTAACTTCATAAGAGGCCTTATTAACCAACAAGGGAGGGCACTCCCTGGGGACGGATCTGCATCTCCCCACCTGCTCCCGCCTACTTCTTTTGCAAGCTTCAGTTCACACAGTCCCAACCTCCGACTGCCCCTTAGAATATATGGTGACAAACTGTTTCCTGAACAATAAGCAAACGTCCAGCATTTCATGTTTTTGCTAAGATGCATAATGCCGCCAGATAACTTCAGCTAACAAACAAGTAAAACAAGCGTTTAAAGAACTCAAGCGAATTCATCTTGGAACAGGAAAAAAACCCGTCAAGCCCTATTTCCTCTTTGTTACCCACCCCCTAGGCCTAGTTGAAGGGAATGTAAGAAGGACTTTCCATTGCTCAGGAAAGCAAATGGAAAAAGCCAAGTTTCCCCAGGCCGCAGGAAGACTTGGAGCGCAGGCAATAACTTCTCCGGAGGGTCACGCGTGTCTCCTACAAGTTCAGGCTCACATGCGCCGCTCAGCTGCCGGCCTGCACTGCTCCACTCTGCGCCCGGCCGAGTCTCGCCCCGCGCGGGAGGAGTGCGCCTCCGGGTCTGGACCGGGTTTCACGAAGTTTGTGATACCATGTGGGGAGGCTAAGACGCCGCTTTTTACTGGGCTCCTGCAACTCCCGACCCCACTGCACAAGCACGGTGCTCCTCTCAGAGTGCTGGGCTCGTGCACACACGTGTGACCAAGCACTCCCTGCGGACGCCCCCTCTTTCGGGTGCCCTCGTGGTTTGGGATTCGGGCCCTGAGCACAGGGCGCGGGAAAATGGGAGCAACCCGTAGCCCGTAACCCAGAGACCGTGGGCAAGCTGGACGCGGCTGGCGCGGGGAGGGACGCAGGGTTGGGTGCGCGTCGCATCCCCGATACTCACCGGGACCTCTGCAGCTGCTCGAAGGCGCTGGTGCTGCCGCCCTGGCCTGGCTGCTCCAGGGAGCAGTAGTTCTGCGAAGTCGGTCTGGAGAAGACGATGGGCAGGATTCCCTGAGTGAACGAGTTGAGGCGTCCCCGACTGCCGCTCCCACTGCCGGGGGTCCCGGAGCCCAAAAAGGCGGCCGCCGGCACCTGCACGCCGGTAAAGGCATCGTCCTCCTCCAACTCCTCCTGCCCGGCGCCCCCGGACC